CTTTTGCTTCAACACTGGCGTCACCTTTCCCAGTGATTGTTGTGAAAGGTGGCCTCGAAGGAATGCTGAGCTCCAGTATTGTGGCCGACCGACAAGCGCTCTTCGAAGTGGATGGCGGGATGATGGGTGCAACTATGGCGCTGTTTCCCACATATTACGTGTTTATGTATGAATACCCGGCTTCCTTGAACAATTTGTTTACGTATTTAGAAAAGTGCATTTTCCAAATCCCCGATGCACGGAAACTTCCAACGTCTGTTATTACGTTTGTCAATGCACTGGACTGCAACACGGAAAATTAATGAACACATCCTTAGTGTCACTAAAAATGCCGTATCTAGAGATATAACCTACTGTACTAACTACTTTATTCCGTAATATACTCTTTGTATCTCACTACTTGTACCTTGTGTGTTGTTTTTAATCTTGCGCGGGATTTACTGTCGATGCCTATCTATACTATAATTTCCTGCGTAAAGCCTTTGTTTTACGCAATCTATTTGAGTACAAGTTTACTCAAATGGATTGCGTAAAACTTATGTTTTACTCAAGGTGAGTAACGTATAGCTTTTACGCACGTTTTAGGTGTCACTGTGAACGCATTGCGTCTTACTCGAATTTTGAGTAAATTTTACTCAACCACCAGCGGTAAAGTTACTCAAATATTGTGTGTCACTGTGAACGCATTTTCCTACTCATGTTTTGAGTAACGTTTACGCAAGGATTTTTTGCAGTGTTGTTTGACAAAGTTTGTCATACAGGTTGAAGAATTGTATGGTTTGGCGTCATGCTCATTCAATGTCCATCAACTGGTACACCTTGCCCATTCTGTTCGAGACTGTGGTCCTCTATGGGCTTCATCGGCGTTCATTTTTGAGTCCAACAATCATACCCTGCTGAAAATGTTTCATGGAACACAGCACATCCCGAAGCAAATAATAGAAACATATGTTCTTTCAAAGAAACTTTCAGTTTTGGCAAAGCAATGTGTTGATGACGAAGCTAGTCCAGCCGTTCACAACCTGTTGGGGAAGCTTAAAGATTCCACGCCCAGAAGCAATCATGTGTTTCTTTCTGAAGGAGTTCGTGGTGTTGGGAGAGAAGTAGCTGTGGAGCTTACTGCATCACAAGCGTTAGCTGTGGAGAATTTATTAGGAACACCTGTGAGAAGACGGGGTGGGGTTATGTTCACTAGATTTGTCGCCAAGAAGAAATTATTTTCAAGTGTTGATTATGTGCGATCCAAAAGACACATAAACAGTAATATAACAATTGAACACCAGCAATATACTTATTGTACTATTGCAGGTTTGTTGTCAATTAAGCCAGATTGCTTGTGTTATAGTGAGGAGCTTCAATACTGCAACTGTATCGTACATAATGTAGTCTTAGTTCAACCAATGGCTGTGCATGGCAGACCATTGTATAGAGATACTGATTTTAATGTAAATAGTTTCTTTTTGGTTCAAGTGGAGCATGATGGAATGCAAACTGCAGTGCATCCCCATCAGATTAGAAGAAAATGTATTTCCTTAACCTTAGATAGCAAACAGTACTTTTGCCCTATTCCTTATGACATTAATGATAATTAACTGGGTTTGTTCTTGAGACTTGGTGCACTGATATCATATGTATTAAACATGCATATATCCTTCTATTTCATATATCCTTTTATTTCTTCCTTCTATTAATTATATATATATATATATATACCGGGTGGCGCAAAAAAAAGTTAACCTGTTTGATTTGTTTTAACTTAAAGGCTAAAAGAGCTATTACACGTGAACCCCGTGCATTGCATTCAGTATTGTCTAACGTAAATTTTGATATACGCCCTGTGCATTTTCGTGCAATATTGACCGAGCGAGCTGCGTTTAAACTTGAGCAATCATTTTTGAAAGTATCGAGAATTAGCCAAAAACGGCCTATCAAATATTTAAGACCGCAATAACCTGTGCTTAGATGCTATAGTCAGAATAAAGAACACGTTCGTTGTCAGAGACCTGCCCAACGCCGCAGGTATAACCTCACGAGCATTATTTACACTTGCATATTCTAAACACGTGTCGAAACTCTTTGGACCTTCGTTAAACGAAGCGTATTTATAAAAAAAAACACTTGACGTTTCTTTCTTGGAACATTAGAATTTGATTCGATCCCCAGGTTCACTGAATATTTAGAATAAATCTTTTAATCAAAATCGCTTCATAATTTCATTTTCATGCATTCCCAAAGACTTTAAACAAAAATAAAGGAGCACAACCATCCAATAAATATTTCTAATTTAAATTTCACTTCACTGAAACGAATATTTACGATAAAATGGTAACGGTTATCAAATCAGTTTAACATACTGTTTTTAGTTAATTTTCGATACTCTCCAAGATGGTTATTCAAGTTTAAACGCAGCTCTCTCGGTCAATATTGCCCGAAATTGCACAGGGCGTATATCAAAATTCAAGTTAGACAATACTGAATGCAATGCACGTAGTTTAGATGTAATAGTTCTTTTAGTTTTTAAATTAAAATAAATCAAACAGGTCAACTTTTTTTTGCGCCACCCGGTATATATATATATATATATATATATATATATATATATATATATATATATATATATATATATATATATATATATATATATATATATATATATATATATATATATATATATATATATATATACAATATACGGCAATGTATTTTATTCAATAAGACATCATCTAAAACATTTGTACTGTAATCTTGTGTTGCATACCTTGGGCTTGGGGTTACAATTACAACTGAGTAATTTCTGAAGGTTCGATAAAAAGCAAATAAAATGGCAAAATATGGCTGAAATCGGGGGGGGGGG